TTTAGTATTATTTAATTCTGAAGTTGAAAACCCACTTTTCACCCAATGGGCAAAAAATCCTTGCCAGGTTGAATATGTGGGCTGCTCCCCAGGGGATGGGGGAGCTGCCCAGCCTGACCCCCTAGGCGGGGGGGGAGGTTAATCCTAGAGGGTGAGTACCCCAGTGAGTGAGCGCTGGCCTGACGGTTGTTTATCTTTTTCAGACCCGGAACAGGGAGAGGGGCGATGGTCGTCGCCCCATGATGAGGGTACAAGGAGGCCCCTCCATGACGGGAGTGCAGGGGGGTCAGGTGATGAAGGGGGGCAGCGCTCCCCAGCGGGTGGCCCCCAAGAAGAAGAGGCGCCTCACGTACCTGGAGAGGATTGCCGAGTGCGATGTTTCAGAAGAGCTCAAAGTCTCTGTCTCCCTGGCACTCAAGACGCTCGAGACCACGCCCGACATGGCGGGTGAGGGCGGGGCATAGTAGGTCAGGGGTGGCGCATTGTGTATGAAGGGCGGGGCATGGCGGGTGAGAGGGTGGGGCATGGATGCGAGGGCGGGGCATAGTAGGTCAGGGGTGGCGCATTGTGTATGAAGGGCGGGGCATGGCGGGTGAGAGGGTGGGGCATGGATGCGAGGGCGGGGCATAGTAGGTCAGGGGTGGCGCATTGTGTATGAAGGGCGGGGCATGGCGGGTGAGAGGGTGGGGCATGGATGCGAGGGCGGGGCATAGTAGGTCAGGGGTGGCGCATTGTGTATGAAGGGCGGGGCATGGCGGGTGAGAGGGTGGGGCATGGATGCGAGGGCGGGGCATAGTAGGTCAGGGGTGGCGCATTGTGTATGAAGGGCGGGGCATGGCGGGTGAGAGGGTGGGGCATGGATGCGAGGGCGGGGCATAGTAGGTCAGGGGTGGCGCATTGTGTATGAAGGGCGGGGCATGGCGGGTGAGAGGGTGGGGCATGGATGCGAGGGCGGGGCATAGTAGGTCAGGGGTGGCGCATTGTGTATGAAGGGCGGGGCATGGCGGGTGAGAGGGTGGGGCATGGATGCGAGGGCGGGGCATAGTAGGTCAGGGGTGGCGCATTGTGTATGAAGGGCGGGGCATGGCGGGTGAGAGGGTGGGGCATGGATGCGAGGGCGGGGCATAGTAGGTCAGGGGTGGCGCATTGTGTATGAAGGGCGGGGCATGGCGGGTGAGAGGGTGGGGCATGGATGCGAGGGCGGGGCATAGTAGGTCAGGGGTGGCGCATTGTGTATGAAGGGCGGGGCATGGCGGGTGAGAGGGTGGGGCATGGATGCGAGGGCGGGGCATAGTAGGTCAGGGGTGGCGCATTGTGTATGAAGGGCGGGGCATGGCGGGTGAGAGGGTGGGGCATGGATGCGAGGGCGGGGCATAGTAGGTCAGGGGTGGCGCATTGTGTATGAAGGGCGGGGCATGGCGGGTGAGAGGGTGGGGCATGGATGCGAGGGCGGGGCATAGTAGGTCAGGGGTGGCGCATTGTGTATGAAGGGCGGGGCATGGCGGGTGAGAGGGTGGGGCATGGATGCGAGGGCGGGGCATAGTAGGTCAGGGGTGGCGCATTGNCCGGGTCTTGTGTCGCCCTCTCATGCCGGGTCTCGTGTCGCCCTCTCATGCCGGGTCTCGTGTCGCCCTCTCATGCCGGGTCTTGTGTCGCCCTCTCATGCCGGGTCTTGTGTCGCCGTCTCATGCCGGGTCTTGTGTCGCCCTCTCATGCCGGGTCTTGTGTTGCAGGGAGGGCGCCGGGCGTCGTATTGTTCTCATGAAGAAGAGTGACGCCGAGAAGCCCTTACGTCAGCGTTCGTGGAAACGTCGCGCTTTACGTTACGGCGGTGTGGCCGAGCTCCTGCGTCAGCGAGACGAGCGACGTCGCGCCAGGGAGCTCGAAGCTGAGCACGAGCGTCTATCCAAACTCGAGGAGGAGAAGAACAAGGTTTTGGGCTTCGAAGTGACAGATGAAAATAGCCGCCAAGACAGTGGTGAGCAGCCCTCAGCTCCGGCGCCCGGTGGTGCCGAAAACGCAGGATCGTCGGCTGCTTCGGGCGCCTCTCGTCGCAACCACGGCGGTTCTATCCGCCGGTGTTCTGAAGGCGATGTCGGACGGCCACCCAACCGGCCTCTTCGCTCCGGCCGTGGCGGTCGTCGAGATGGGGTCGCGTCTTTCAGAGGTGGACACAGGACTCCAGTTTCTCGTCCCTTCCAGGAGTCACCTCTCGATTACGGACCCCCACCTTATGAATACTCACCTCCGCCCCGCAGGCGAACTGAGGGCTGGGAGTACGAGCAACCTTTTCCATCTAGAGAATTCGAGCGACCTTTTATACCTAGAGAATTTGAACGGCCTTTCACACCTAGAGATTTCGAGCGACCTCCACCGAGGGAGTACGATCGGCCATTGCCTCCAAGAGAACACGAGCCACGCTTTCCACATGATCGAGACTTGCCACTTGGGTATGCGTCGCGCGCACCGTACCCTATGCATGTCCCTCCGCCACCGCACGACATTCCTCTTCAAGGTACTCCTGCCTTTGAAGCTCCCTATGACCAACCTATCAGCCATGACCTTCAGGGCTACTCACGACGCCATGTTGATCGTACCAATTTCCCCCCACCCTCGTGGACTGGTGATAGGTATTGGGAATCTCCTCAGGAGCGCAGTGTTTCGTTCAGACGTCACTCAGAAGGACAGGACAGGTTCCATCCTTACGCAGTATGTGAGCTGGCCAACGGAGAACACCGGCCAACGTTGTCTGACTACAACAACCAGTACAACACTGAGTACAAAGTTGTACAACCTAGCGAGCCCAAGTGGTCTGACTACGGCTACTACTCGGGCACAGCGACCGACGACCGCACCTACAACCTTGACCCTCAACATACGACGGACCGACGGATGGCTCCCCCCTCCTCTGGGGAAGTTGTTGGTGGTGGACCAATCCCGCCTCACGGTGGTGGTCTAATCCCGCCTCACGGTGGTGGGGCGTTCCCACCTCCCGACCACACGGTGATCAAGACAGAGATAAAATACGAGCCCACATCTGAGGAGAGGCTGATGTGGGACACCCACGGCACGCATGACATTAGGGGTCCTGACATGAGAGGTTCTGACATGAGGGGTCCTGACATGAATGGTCCTGACTTAATGGGTTCTTCCATCACCGTCAAGTCAGAGCCTCAATTCTAAGCCTCAGTTTAAGTTCCATTTCCAGTGGGGTTCCAAATCCTGGTTTGGGTTCCAAGGCCTGGTTTGGGTTCCGAGTCCTGGTTTGGGTTCCAAGACCTGGTTTGGGTTCCAAGACCTGGTTTGGGTTCCAAGTCCTGGTTTGGGTTCCAAGTCCTGGTTTGGGTTCCGAGTCCTGGTTTGGGTTCCGAGTCCTGGTTTGGGTTCCGAGTCCTGGTTTGGGTTCCAAGACCTGGTTTGAGTTCCAAGTCCTGGTTTGGGTTTCAAGACCTGGTTTGGGTTTCAAGTCCTGTTTTGGGTTCTGAGTCCTGGTTTGGGTTCTGAGACCTGGTTTGGGTTCCAAGACCTAGTTTGGGTTCCAAGATCTGGTTTGGGTTCCAAGACCTGGTTTGGGTTCCAAGACCTGGTTTGGGTTCCAAATCCTGGTTTGGGTTCCAAGTCCTGGTTTGGGTTCCAAGTCCTGTTTTGGGTTCTGAGTCCTGGTTTGGGTTCCAAGTCCTGTTTTGGGTTCTGAGTCATAGTTTGGGTTCCGAGTCCTGGTTTGGGTTCTGAGTCCTGGTTTGGGTTCTGAGTCCTGGTTTGGGTTCTGAGACTTGGTTTGGGTTCTGAGACCTGGTTTCTGTTCTGAGACCTGGTTTGGGTTCTGAGACCTGGTTTGGGTTCATAGTCTGTTTGATGTTGAGTTTTGTGTTAAAGTGTTTAGCATTTGTACATTGATCTTTAAGATAAAAACCCTGAATCTGATCATCTTGGACGTACTCACGTACGACCGCCATACCATTTACGATTATCGTATCAATTGAGACCATCGTAGGACATATTCCGTATTTCCCCTCGCAGCTTTCGCATCAAAAGTTCTCTTGCACTTACGATGGTCGTAACTCTTTACGATGGTCGTAACTCTTTACGATGGTCGTAACTCCTTACGGTGGTCGTAACTCTTTACGATGTTCGTAACTCGTGTCGTATCTGGGCCACTGGGCTGCTCGTCTGACGTTTGCGAGCCCGTGGGCCTTCATCACCTTTATGACGTCTCGTTGTCTCGAAGCCTTGTAATAAATGAGACACTCAGCACCTCTTTTATTTGTGCCTTATAAAGTGCTGCATTAGAGTGCCCCTCTCCCCCGCACAGCGTTAGAGTGCCCCTCTCCCCCGCACAGCATTAGAGTGCCCCTCTCCCCTGCACAGCATTAGAGTGCCCCTCTCCCCTGCACAGCATTAGAGTGCCTCTCTCCCCTGCACAGCATTAGAGTGCCCCTCTCCCCTGCACAGCATTAGAGTGCCCCTCTCCCCTGCACAGCATTAGAGTGCCTCTCTCCCCTGCACAGCATTAGAGTGCCCCTCTCCCCCACACAGCATTAGAGTGCTCCTCTCCCCCACACAGCATTAGAGTGCCGGAGGTATTTTTATGCTCCTCCAGACTTATATTTCTACCTGAACCTGAGTACAGGGATTCGTTGACAGAGTACGTATTAGTATGTGAGGGATAATTAAGACACCATCTGTCCAAGAACTTATCTTGATACGGGGTGGTAATACATGAGAGATACAGTACAGGTATAGGCTAAGTCGTCGACAGTTAGGTCGGAGTAACTGGAACAAATGTTAAATGGCTGCGTGTTAGTTAGTTACTGGGCGGCCTTACTAAGGTTCACAGCCCTTTTATATAATCACGGCTTCCGCCCACTACTGAGGTCTTGATCGAGTGCTGTGTCACGTGATGTTGTCCAGACGCTGACTCAGGTCTAGTACTTCATCTCTACCACGTCTAGTGAATATTGCATCTTACCAACAGATTAGAAAATATTTATATTAATAGAATGAGACGCCTGATTGACATCGGGCACCTCCCTTCTTTCTTGAAGATCGTCCTCGATCGTATAGATTCAAAATAAAATAAAAATGTCTTCAGAACCTACGGTCAAAATTGCATCTCATACTTATACTCTTAAGTATTCAAAAGTAAATGTTTTCAAAGTAATTGATTAATATATGAGGATACATTTCCTTCTCTTGACAATATGAAAACCCCGAGTATGACACTTGTAGAAGAAAAGAACGCGTCCATCTCCAATGCAATTGGGGAAAAAATCTAGGAAACTCCTTGTGTTTTTAACGCTATGTTCTTAGGCGTTATGTCAAAGTTATAAATCATTACATTTATATGACATCAACGCAATTATTGGTTAGTTATGTTCTGTTTGAAAATTGTTCCTACAATTTACATCATAAAAACTGCATACACTGAATTCATCAGGTTAGAGGAATATTTTTAAAATCAATTTTTTCGGATATCAAGATGCTGGAACAATCGTGCATAAATATTGAATTGAGATTATTACACAAAATAATGAGGATAATAGCGTTCACAGAGAAATGATGTGAAGTACAAACTAAAGTGGAGTATATTTGGGGGGGGGACATNATGCACCTGTCTCTTATACACATCAGATGTGTATAAGAGACAGACCCTCCCCCCGCCCATGATGTAACCCACTCCCCTCTTATTGAATGTCATTAATGTTAATTATTATTAGAAAAAGAATGAATAAAATATGAATATATAAGAAGAATAATTATAATTATTATAATATTATTAGTCTTCTTAGAATAAGAAGAATAATTTTAATTACAGTGAAGGAGCTGGGGCTTCTGCGCTCACTGGGGCGCCTCACCCCCGGCCCCCCGCAGGTACCCCCCTCACCCTGTTCCCCCGCGGGTGGTGGGGGGCGGCGGCTGCCCGTGTGGGGGCGCCACCGCCAGATCCTGGACGCCATCTCCCGCCACCAGGTGGTGCTTGTGTGCGGCGACACCGGCTCCGGCAAGTCCACCCAGGTGGGGCAGGTGGTGGGTGGGAGGTGGTGGTGGTGGGTGACGGGTGAAGGTGGTGGTGGTGGGTGGAGGTGTTGGGGGAGGTGGTGGGTGGTGCGTGGTTTTGGCTGGTGGTGGTGGGTGAAGGTGATGGAGGCAGGTGGGTATAGGTGGTTAGAGGGAGTGTAGGGGGCAGGTGGTGGCTGGAGGGGCAGATTATAGGCGCCATGAGACAACCTGAGTGGCACTATTGTCTTCAGGAATCTTCCTCCAGGAGGTACGGCGATAAACGAGGCAGAAGGATGAGCTGGTCATGAGAAGGACCTCTGTTGCAGTGTGCAGGTGGTCTAGGGCGGTCATCTTGAGACAGCTGGTGAGCTGGTGGCCAGCGTGAAGGCAGAACTCTGCACCACCTGTAGGCTCGCGACGGTGGAGACAAGGGGCTACCCAATTAAGGGAGCGCATTTAAGGATTTGTCAGCGCTTATTTATTAAGTGCCGCCTGAAGATTGGATCCCCTGGCTTGCCTCCCACGGGATACGGGACTAAGACATTTTTATGGACATCCTACCTCCGTCCACCGGGTTCTTGTCCTCGTGACACATATGCTGGATGGCAAGCTCTCATAGCAGTGACACTGTGGACTCATAGCTAACTAGCTCTGCTGATAAATAGAAGAGGATTTGTTTCCTTAAACTACTCTCGGACAGATTGGTCGGGTGATGGTGGCCGAAATGACTTCATTTGAGAAACTCTCGCTGGCGCCAAGCAGGGCCTTTAGTATGCTTATGAAGCTGGCGGCTTTAGATCAAGGCAATTGTCTTGACGTTTGGTATTACATGTGACTTGCAGGATAATTGGAGTCTTGCTTCTTGGGATGCGAGCGTTGACTTTGATGGCGGCAGAATGAACTGTGGACTGGTGAGTACCGGGAGTGATCATGAGACAGAGGACTTATCCGGAGCTATGGTCTGCCTTTAGGCGGCGGGACAGGCGGACGGAGACGCCAGACTGCAGCATCGCTGCAGGTCCGTCTATAAGCGATGTCTATAGTCTCGGGTGGACGACAAATATCGTGAGATCGTCTATGTATGAGGCGATGTTGGAGGGCGGGACTGGTGTATGTAAAGGGTTGGGGAAACATCCAAACCCTTGGGGAATTCCCGTATGTATGCTCCTGGAAAGAGATTAGGATCTAATTTATAGGCAAAAAACGAGCCTGACTCTGAGACAGCAACACAGCCAACGGACCAAGTTGTGGTGTAGGGTACATACAGCGATAATGGATATGAGATGTGAGTGGTCAACTCAATCGAATGCTTTCGACACCATTTCATCGTCGATGAGAGGATGGAGAGTGCCCTCTCTTCTCCCTCTGTGCGAAAGAGGGAGTAGAGTTACCGGGTTACAGACTTACAGTAGAGTGACCTGGTTTGAAGCCGTGTTGGACTGGGAGGTGGCCATGCAGGGTGGCTGTGAGGTCGAGAAGCAGGAGCTACTCCAAAGTTTTAAAAGCTGGGCAAAGGAGTTGAATGGTACGATTAGAGAAGCCTTGATCCCTCGCTTTCCTGGGTTTTGCAGTGAGGATAGTTTTCTCGAATGGCTAGTATGGAAACAAAGATGTTGACGAGGTTTATGGGGAATCGAATATCTCTTGGGCCTAGGTACTTCAGGTGGAGAATCGGTCTTTCAGACCATCCGGCCCAGCGGCCGTAGATTTGCTTGCCTATTTCATAGCAAGTTTGACAAGCTGATCTGTGAAGGGTAGGAAGTCTCTGTCGAGAGGGTGGCCCGAACAGATTTGAACTCTGAGGCGGCGGGCGCCTGGGACGTTGAGCCCAGAGGACGACCGAGGTGAACTGTTTGCGAAAGGCAGAGGCAGTCTCATGAAGTGAGGTTATAGGTTTGCCCTTGAGTAGAATAGGGTGGTTTAGAGGCTGACAAGAGCGTATTCCAGCTAGAGAACGAACTACATAGGTGCCAGCGTGTGTATGAGTGGGTGCAACTGTCGCACGTTGCTAGGAGGGCACACCAAAGGTCGTGAAGGAACTTTTGAGAGGTCGAGGTTTAAGATCTTGGGAGGTCTTTGGCCTTATGGGCTTATCTGACGTCGCGACGTGCTGTGAGTTTTCTGGTGTCGAAGGCAAAAGCGGGAGCGAAGTTCCTGGGGAAGACAGTATAGGGGTGCGGTGCTTTACCCCTGCGGTGGTGGTAATGCACGGTCTAGCTAGTGGCCACCCGCAATCAAAATGAGAGCAAGGAGTCATGGGTTCGAACTCCTGCCAGCTGCGAACATCGTGCGATGTCGCTTATAGAAAGGCTTGCAGCATGGCCGAGGTGCGTGCTGTCAGGCAAAGTCATAACCAGTCTCTTGAGCGTGACTGTACCGAGTGATACATGTTGTATCTTAAGCGTGATGGTAATTCGTGTTACGCATCTTGAGCTTGATCGTGAAGCGTGTTACGTAAGAGTATCCTGAGCGTGATTGTGACCGCCTTATATCACATCCACTCCCTCTCCCCTGTAGGTGCCGCAGATGCTGCTGCAGGCGGCCACGCAGGCGGGTCGCCCCGTGCGCATGCTGTGTACGCAGCCGCGCCGCGTCGCCGCCGTCGCCGTCGCTGAGCGCGTCGCCCACGAGCGCGGCGAGCGCCTCGGCCACACCGTCGGTTACCAGATCCGCCTTGAGAGCAAGTCCGTCCGCCATCTTGTCTGTGCCGCCATCTTGGTGTGCCTCCATCTTGGTGTGCCGCCATCTTGGAAGGCCGCCATCTTAGATGACAATAACAATGCTTCTGATGACAATAACCTTGCAATTATTGACAATCTCCATGTCATGATAACTTCTGCTTCTGATAGCCATGCTGATATCAATAACCTGATGTCCCTGACGTCAGGTTAAGCAGCTCGACGCTGCTGACGTTCTGCACGGCAGGGGTGCTGCTGCGCACCCTCATGGGAGGCGACGCTGCCCTCGCCACCATCACCCACGGTGAGAGGAAGCGCCCACCGGACCTTTACGTTCGGTGAGGGCCGTTTATTGGGTCCCGTTGATGAGGGCCTGCGTGCTTAAACTCCGTGTATAGAAACTGTTGACAACCACCACCACCACCTGTTGACCGTGGTCTTGTGTTGGCATCAACCGCCTTATGGTCATCCCGCTGTGCCCCCTGTCAGCGTTCGCCAGTATTGCACCAGATATTGTTATCTATATACATAATATGCTTATACCTCATCATATGATGCGTTTTAGATGCACGATAGAACTTTAACCCCTCCATTTGATGTAGTTTGTGTACGCGGTGAAACCTTCCTTAACCCTCGTCCTGGGTTGAGTTGGCCCACCGCATTCTGCGGTAGTTTTGTCAATGTCCCGCTGACTTTAGTTTAATTTTATAAGTTTAGTCTATTGAAGAATTGTGCGTTTGGCGACGTTTTCCTTTTGGAGATAATCAAACTCTGAATCTAATAAAAAATTTTGCTGTGTATGCTCGGTTATATTTGGCTTACTGCTTTCTCTACCCATATCCCCATTTTTCTGTCCATTACTCTCCCTCTTTTGTCTGTCCATCAGTGCTGGTGGACGAGGTGCATGAGCGCGACCGCTACATGGACGTCCTCCTGACCGTGCTGAAGGATAGCCTGCCTAAATACCACCACCTCAAGCTGGTACTGCTGTCCGCCGCCATGGACGTGGCTCTCTACTCTAAGTACTTCGGTACTTGCCCCATCATTGATGGTGGGTACTAGGAAGTACTTGTCCTATTGGATATTGGGGACCGGTGGGGGAGAACTGATAGTACAGAAGTTACTTGCCCCAATTGGCTGTGGGTACCAATGGGCTGAGGGTACTTGCCTTATGAGATGGTTAGAAGTGATGGATATTTGCTCCGTTGGGGCACTTGCACTTTTGTCGATCGTATCGGAGGTAAAGTAACTGATTTGTTTCATAAGTTTTTGGCGTGATTATTAACAAGGAGATCTGCCCCTGCACCACTACCGCCACCACCATCATTGTGAGCATGGGGGGCACTCGTTAATGTTAATGCATGGGGGCACTCGTTAATGTTAATGCATGGGGGCACTCGTTAATGTTAATGCATGGGGGCACTCGTTAATGTTAATGCATGGGGGCACTCGAGCATGGTCTGCGCCATGACTTTCCTAACGCAGTTTTTCTTCTACATTGCAGTGCCCGGGCAGTGCTTTCCTGTGACGGAATACTACTTGGAGGACGTGCTAAAACAGTGAGTGCAGTGGGCAGCGAGTGCAGCGGGCAGCGAGTGCAGTGGGCAGCGAGTGCAGTGGACAGTGAGTGCAGTGGGCAGTGAGTGCAGCGGGCAGCGAGTGCAGTGGGCAGCGAGTGCAGAGGGCAGTGAGTGCAGTGGACAGTGAGTGCAGTGGACAGTGAGTGCAGTGGGCAGCGAGTGCAGTGAGCAGTGAGTGCAGTGGGCAGTGAGTGCAGTGGGCAGCGAGTGCAGTGGGCAGCGAGTGCAGTGAGCAGTGAGTGCAGTGGGCAGCGAGTGCAGTGGACAGTGAGTGCAGTGGACAGCGAGTGCAGTGGGCAGCGAGTGCAGTGGGCAGTGCATCAGTGATTGATTACGATGTCCTGATTGGAAATGACCATGCAGGGCATGTGTGAGTTAAAGAGATCGCAGTTTGAAACAGTGTACAGTAACCCCCGCTACTCAAGACGGGAGAATGAAGTTGAAGTTCTCCAGGAGCTTCCAGACGACGTGGGCTGGAGAACATCGACTTGGGACCAGAAGTCATGGATAGAAGCATCAAAGAACTAGTGACGTTTTCAGCACCAGGACCAGATGGAGTTCCGGCAGTACCGGTACCTATTGATAAAGAAGTGTGTCGGGGCAATGAAAGAGTCGCTCACAATGCTCTGGAAAATTTCGTTCAGGGAGGGAATTATTCATGACAGCCTCAAAGTATAGGACTGTCAAGGTGTTTGAGACGGTGGTGGCCAGAAGTGTTGCTCAGTTTATGGAAGAAGCCGAACTGTATAATAATGAACGACATATTTTCCGGCGAAATCGTTTCTGTTTGTCGCAGTTATTGGAACACAATCACCGCCTTGTGGCCTACTGGAGGAAAGAGCTGGCGTAGAAGTGGTATACCTAGACTTTTCAAAAGCCGTTGACAAAGTTGAACATGAGGTGCTCTTCAGACAGCTAAGGCTTTTGGGGATAGGACGGAGCCTGTTGGGGTGGATCCACAATTTTCTTACAAATAGAGTACAAGCTTTTGCAATTGGAAACTCGAAATCGAGAGAAGCGAAGGTAAAAAGCGGGGTCCCGCAGTGCTCAGTGGTTGGACCGATCCTCTTCCTCATCCACATTGCAGATATTGACTCAGAACTCACCCACGCATCTACATCGTCATTTGCGGACGATACAAGAATGCTGATGAAGATCACATGCAGATGACCTAGACTGCGAGAGGTTACAGGATGATCTATCGTCAATCTACGATTGAGCCCTAGTGAATAATATGCAATACAACGGCACCAAGACTGGGATGCTGCCTCGCTATACTTAGCATAAGACGGTACAGAAATCGAGGAGAAGCAACTTGTTCGAGATCTCGGCGTGTTGATGAGTGCCGAAGCCACGTTCGATGAGCATATCGAGGAAATAGTCGCGTAAAGCAAACAACGGCTTGGTTGGATCTGGCGAACATTTCGAACGACAGCACCAATGATTATATACCCTCTTCAGAGTCGTCGTCAGAGCATTAGCATTAGCGGTATGAGAGAGCTGAACCTGAACTACTGGGAAAGGCTGAAACACGTGGAACTGTACTCACCGGAGAGAAGAAGGGAAAGGTATATCATACTGTACACTTGGAAGATGATAAACGGACTGGCTCCCAACTTTGAGAGTAAGACCTCCAAAATAATGACATATTACAACGAAAGAAGGGGGAGACTGCATGTGCAGGATTCCCCCATTTAATAACCGAGCCGCGGCCAGAGTACAGACTCTTCGTGAGGGATCACTGTCCGTGGTAGGACCGAGGCTCTTTAATGCCTTGCCAAAAGCGCTGAGAGGAGGGGAGTTTACCCTTGCAACATTCAAGAGACGACTGGACAAGTGGTTGAGCAAGATCCCGGATTGTCCAGTAATGGGAAACTACCAACAGCAAGTGACAAGCAACAGCATCTTGCATCAGCTGGCCCAAAGGAGGGCAAATAGACGGAACACGTCCAACGTTGCATCCGGGACCCGAGGGCGGGGTGACCTGCCTAGTGACGTCTTGGAGACGGAGGACGACGAAGGCGGCGCATCAGCGTGACCGGGGACTACGAAGTTCTGAACTCGTGATGAAGTCATGAATGAGCAATGCGTGCAGTGAATAGTTCGTCAGTGAGCAGCGCAAGCATTGTTTAGCTTTTATTTGCCTGTACACAGAGATGGTAGCCAATAGTATTAGCGACTAATATTAGCCTATACAATTTTTTGAGCTTTTTTGTTCTTCTGTGCTGAGTATCAAGACGCGGGCACTTTAAGTCGTTAGAGTTTGTGTCGAACTAAGTCGATATCTCCGTCCTTCACTGTTTTTCACCAACATTCTATATGATGATTGATAGTTATTCATCCCCTCTGCTATATAATATTAATTTCGCCGACTGCTTTACAAAAAGCCTCTTCAAACTCACTATTATTGTCACGTTCCAAATTCTTTCACCAAGCGCAGACTTCACTCGACGGCTTCTAGCGACGCACTGGCGTGTACAGAGGAGAAATACTGTCTGCCAATACTTGCCTCGTGTATAAGTCTACTCGCCTCTAATATTAGCCTCTCTAATTAGCCTCTAATATTAATATTAGCTTCTAATCTGCCTATATTAGCCCCGTATAGAGGCACCATTTACGTGGCGTCTTGATGTGCGTTCATGCAAATGTAGGCTTGAGAAGCAGCGACTTTCCAGGATAATTTTTTGAAAATTTTAGGTCCGTTGTCAATTTTAGTTGTACATGATGTGTACACTACCATTTATCTCTGTGTATTATGAGTGATATGTGTGTTCTGTGTGTTGTACTCATTCACTGCACTTTGCACAGCACTGCGTACAGCACCAAGGCCATGACTGAGGCCCTCAAGAGGCTCGACAAGAGGCAGGAGGCGCGTGCCTCTGAAGACGCTTGGTGCTTGCGTCTCGGTGCCTCCACCACTGCTGTGGCTGAGGCTGTGGCTAGTGCTGTGGCTAAAGCTGAGGCAGGGGCTGGTGCTGAGGCAGGACCTAGTGCTGTGGCTAAAGCTGAGGCTGTGGCTGAGGCAGGAGCTGGGGCTGTTGCTGTGGCTAAAGCCGAGGCAGGAGCTAGTGCTGTGGCCAAAGCTGAGGCAGGACCTAGTGCTGAGGCTGCAGCAACAACTGTGGCTGACGGTGGCGCTGAGGCTGTGGCTGACGAAGTGTCAGCTGGTCGACGCCAGGAGGCAGATGACGTCATCATCGAGGACGAGGCAGGTGAGGCTGCATGGACACCTGACGCCTGACGATGTCAGGTCGTCTTGCCTTCCTCGTCGGACGGTCTGACCGCCGTCAGGCTCGTCAGGACGTGACCGGCGCGACGTGCCTTCGTTGGTGTTAACTTAGGGACCGCGGGGCCGTGGCCCAGGCACGTCAGCCCCGCGGCCTCAGCCTGACGGCCTCATTCCTGTTGGCCTCAGCCTGACGGGGGACTTGTTTATTTCTGTTGTTAGGGAGGTTACTGAGGGACCAGAGGGTATGTGTGGAGGATAGGGTCATGCTGGGGCTGAGGGGACCAGAGGGTATGTGTGGAGGATAGGGTCATGCTGGGGCTGAGGGGACCAGAGGGGGTGTGTGGAGGATAGGGCCATGCTGGGGCTGAGGGGACCAGAGGGAGTGTGTGGAGGATAGGGCCATGCTGGGGCTGAGGGGACCAGAGGGTATATGTTGTCTCTTATACACATCTAGATGTGTATAAGAGACAGNGGGGCATGGCGGTGCAGTGGTGGGGCATGGCGGTCCAGTGGTGGGGCATGGCGGTGCAGTGGTGGGGCATGGCGGTCCAGTGGTGGGGCATGGCGGTGCAGTGGTGGGGCATGGCGGTCCAGTGGTGGGGCATGGCGGTGCAGTGGTGGGGCATGGCGGTCCAGTGGTGGGGCATGGCGGTGCAGTGGTGGGGCATGGCGGTCCAGTGGTGGGGCATGGCGGTGCAGTGGTGGGGCATGGCGGTCCAGTGGTGGGGCATGGCGGTGCAGTGGTGGGGCATGGCGGTCCAGTGGTGGGGCATGGCGGTGCAGTGGTGGGGCATGGCGGTCCAGTGGTGGGGCATGGCGGTCCAGTGGTGGGGCATGGCGGTCCAGTGGTGGGGCATGGCGGTCCAGTGGTGGGGCATGGCGGTCCAGTGGCTGGACATCTCTTATACCCCGTCCACAGGCTCAAACTTATCGTCAGTCTTGCATGTCATGCCAAAGTTTGACCCCGACAAGACAGAAGACTGAGGAGCGTCCACACGTTCCAACTTTCCTTCAGTCTCGTGCGCTCGCGGCAGTGGCGGAGCTATACCTGTATATGGTAGGTAGTGCTGCTCGCTGCAGTGATCGCCGTTCGTGCCACCAAAATTAGAGTATGGCGATGCAAACGTACGCGGTGGTCCTGAAAATGTTTTAAAACTATACCACAATGAGAGTTGATAGACAGCATCCCTATGTGCACCAGACTGACCATAAATTTGAGCGTGTGGACGGGACTAAAGCCTCAAAACTCCACCCATCCGTCTTACAAGACATCAAAATCAAGCGCATGTCAAAACTGAGATGACATAAAGACTGAAGATAAGTTTGAGCGTGTGGACGGGGCCTAAAAGTGGACGCTCTGCCTCCAGGGAGCGACGCTGCCGCTGAGATGGACGGCCTCCTGGAGGCGGCCTTCCTGGAGGACAGCGACGTCGCCTTCGCCCGCATCCTGTGCCTCGTCCTGACGGGGGACGTGTCCCCTGACCACCAGGTGTGTCCGCTGACCACCAGGTGTGTCCCCTGACCACCAGGTGTGTCCCCTGACCACCAGGTGTGTCCCCTGACCACCAGGTGT